GGACTTGATGACCTTAAAGGTCTTTTCAAACCAAAAATGATTTTATAATTCTAAATGGGAACTGCATAGAAAAGCTCCCTCAAGGTCAGCTTTGTTACTCAGAAGCTGCTGTGCTGGTGAGAGGGTTCTGTGATAGATCTGCATCATTTCTCCCAGTGGGGAGTTACAGATCCAGGCTGCTGACACCAGGGCAAATATTTACTTTCTCCCTGCCACTGGCTCTGGAACACAGAACTTTTGGAGGCCACACACAGAGCTGGGCTCTGGGAGGCTGGAATAGACTTAGGGGAAGCAGGAGGCTCTTTAAGAGCTCAGTGAATATTGGAGCTTGTTCCTCTCTTGCACTCGTGTGTGTCTGGAATAACTGCACGAAAAATCTCAGGTGGAGAATGACACTGTGAGCATGAAAGTGGAAAACCAAACATGGGTAGACTTCAATCTGTTGGGTTTTGTTTTTTTTCTTTTTAATAGGATAAGCAAAGCCAAAAAGAAGGCAGAAGGCCTGACCCAGAGTATGGTGGACAGATGCATCCAGGTAACCCCAGAGCTCTTCCCTTTGCCCCTCCTAGCTTGAAAAATAAAATGTTGCTGGAATATCTTTAGTGAGCACCCATTATAACAGGGCTGCCAGGACAGGTTGGATCAGAGGTCTCTTAATCCTGAGTGGGTTTGGAGGTGGCTGCCTCTGTCCAGGAGGAGACGTGAGGTTCTTGGGACCACACCTTGAACAACGAGCAGCTTTCTGAGCCTTTTCTGAGCCTGGGGCAGCAAGTTGGGAGCACAGGAGAAACCAGCGTGTTTCTCCACCACCTGTCAGAACTCAGCAGAGCATGGGCTGTGCTGAGGCAGCCACGATCTGCCCCTAAGGTTTTAGGGTTCTTTTGTGCAGCGGGTTAAATCTGGAGACCCTCACCCCATTTGTCCCTGAAGCTCAGCTGCGTGGAGCACACGGCTCAGTCTGTCCCTCCCTCCCTAGGATGAAATAGCTGATTTCTTGACCGGGGTCCTCACCCGAGCCGAGAGCCACTCGGGCTCCGATCCCCGCGACCTGGACGCCGAGAAGAAGAAGAAGCCACGGGACTCCACCAGGAGGGATCTGTCCTTTGACCTGCCAGAGAGAACCAGCAGACCCGGCTCCCCGGCAGCCAAAGTGCCCGCCTCGCCCTCGGGCTCCGAGGTGGGGGGCTCCCTCTGGGGTGTTTTGAGCTGGGGAAGGTTGAGGGGCTTTGGTACCTGAAATATGCGGTGGGAGATGTGGTCAGTGTTAGAGGAGGGGCGTGAGGGGATACGGAGGGGCTGGAGCAGCTCTGTGCCAGGACAGGCTTGAGAGCCATGGGGCTGGAGAGAAGCCTCAGAGGGGATCTGAGCAGTGCTGAGCAAGAGCTAAAGGGCCCCGGGGGGCAAGAGGCTGGGGCCAGACTCTGCTCAGTGGTGCCCAGCCACAGGACAAGGGGAAACGGGCACCAACTGGCACCCC